TCTGCCAACGTGGCACCTCATCCTCCCAGTTCCACCGCACGGCTTTGCACCGCTCCTCGCTGGAGGGACACACGGATATCCTGCAGAAGCTGCTGGACAGCGGGGCCACCGTTGACTTCAGGGACCGGGTAAGGCCAGATCCTGCCCCTGGCTCCATGCTGGTCTGAGCCTCTGGGCATGGCACAGCTGGAGCAACAGCATGGCTGGGGTCCCCGCAGCAGGGTAGTGCTGTCCCCATCGTCGAGGTGGCTATGGGCAGGGCTCTGCCAGCTCAGCGTGGGCATGGGAACCAGCTGGGGTGGGGGATGGACATGGTCATGGCCGTGACATGGTTCTGTGCACCCAGCTGGACTGCACCGCCGTGCACTGGGCCTGCCGGGGTGGGCACCTGGATGCCGTCAAGCTGCTGCAGGACCGTGGGGCAGACCTCAACCTGAAGGACAAGGTGTGCAGGGAGAGCCCAGGGGCACAGGGCTGTGCCAGGGGCGTGGGCATGCCCCGGGGGACCAGGGCTGGCCCTGTATTGGGTTAACAGGGGTGGTGATGATCCCATCTGGGGTCCATCTCCTTCCCTCTCAAGCTGCTCAGCACCCCCCTCCACGTGGCCACCCGGACTGGGCACCCTGACATTGTGGAGCACCTCATCCACTGCGGGGTGAACATTGACTCCCCAGACAGGGTGAGTGCTGTGGCCAGAAAGCCAGCATTTGGGGAGCAACGCTGATCCCCCCTCCCTTGTCTGACACCTCTGGGGGCTCCCAGCACCTGCAGAGGGGCACATCCAGACACACACACATCCTGCCCCAGAGTGTTGGCACCTGCAGCTGGGGCTGGGACAGGCACCATCCCCCTTGTCCTTGTGGGGAGGTGTGGAGCAGTGCAGGGGACAGGCAAGGGGTCCTTGTCCCCAAAGCTGGACCACAATCCCCAGCCAGGCTGTGTCTCTCGCAGGAAGGGGACACAGCACTGCATGATGCCACACGGCTCAGCCGCTATAAGATCATCAAAATGCTACTCCTGCACGGGGCTGACATGATGGCTAAGAACCAGGTGAGTGGGAGGACAAGCACCGGGGCCGTTTGCTGCCCCACCATGTTGCACCACCCCGGCCCCAGCCTCTCTCTGCCCCCTCATGCAGGCTGGCAAGACCCCGGCGGACCTGGTGCAGCAGTGGCAGGTGGACACACGCCAGGCGCTGGAGACCAAGGAGCAGCCGCAGGGGGAGATGGAGGTCCCTGCGTGATGACGCCAGGCGGGGACCAGGGACTGGGCTCAGCTCCAAGGAGCAGGATCCAACCAAGGCTTGCCTGTGTCAATAAAAGCCAGCAAAGAGCAGCACTTGGCTCCAGGGGGCTGTGGGGCTGGGCAGCCTGCACTGGGGGCGATGAGGCTGGGGAAGCTGGGTTATCTGGCAGCATGGACATGCCCTGCCTCCTAGCAGAGGGACTCGAGTGTTGGTGACACCAATGGGCAAGGACACGAGTGGTGCAAGGGCAGGACTCCTCGCTGCAGGATGCCCTGGCTGCTCGCAGTGCTTCAAAGTCCCACCTGGGCAAACTCAGGGAGGAAACGTACATTGAGGGCAGCTCAACCCAGATCCACGCTGTGCTGGAGGCTGGGTCACACTGGAGAGCGTAGTCATACCCCTGCTGGGCTGCCACGCTGCGGGGCAGGATGGCTGCTTGTTCTCCCGCCTTCCCCACTGGAGCCATCCGTAAGGCGACACGGCAGCCCGTTTGCAGGCTCGGTCACATCTGCTGAGTGCAGTGCTCATTGCTCCCTACCCAGAAATGCTCCTGCTCACCCATTTACAGGAGATCCTACACCAACATCAAAGTG